TTTGTTCTGTTGGCAAAGGTTGAATTTGATGAACTTGGGTGCTCCGGGCTAGGGCTCCGAAAGGAATAAATGAATGCGAATATAGGGCATATTCATATTCGCATTCATATTATTCATATCATGCATTTTGAGCACATTAATAGATCTTCCGTTTCGCCGATTTTTGTATTACCGAAATACACGTTTCCACTAGTCAGTCAACTTATATCTGTTGTGATATGAAGCTAGTGCAGATCAGGAACCAAACCGCACCATCGGCATAAATCCCGAGTTGTCAATACAAAGAACCAAGTTTATTTCCAATCAACTTGGACTTTGTGGTGTATATATAGCCTTGTTTCCCTCTGAATCAATCAACTTATACCTCTGAACTACAACAATTTTGACATTTTTGGGCGTCTGTATCTCTATTTCCATCTGTCTCTCTTTAAAATACCACCATGCCCACAAAATGCATAAGAAGGAGCAAGATACCACCTACAAAGATGGTAGCATATTGTTTGCAATCAAGGCTATTCATAATAGAACAATATATTCCGTTACGGCTGCAGCGCGCGCATACGATGTGCCGCTTGAACGGAGCACTTTCAGCCACCAGGGCTACCAACACCTCTGAGCCGACTCATTTAGATGAGAGTACTTCTACTGAATGGATTATATCTACAGAAGATCGTGGTGTAGCTCCGCGCATATGGATGGTCCGTGTTTAGAGGAATGTGTTACATGCAGCCACCACCACCGACATGTTGGGTATATAATCTATAAGGTCAACCCGAACTTGACCCAAGAAGCAAACTCTGGGAATTCTCTTATATTAAGATTCAATATCAAAGCTCGTCAAAAATAATCGTTATATTCAAAAAACAAAATTGAATAACTATTACTTAACAGAATTCCTTTTGTCCCTTACGGACATTTTTAACAGACACTGGATTTAGTCCTGCTGTTGCTTCACATGAAGAATAAGATCATAAATTTCGTTTTTCCATTCACATGGTCCCCATGAGGTGAGGCCGGCAAGTGTTGGCCGAATGCATGAAGCATTGGCAAAGATTCTCAACTGATGTATGCGTCAATCTAGCTCTTTCTATGAACAACTTCATCGAATAAGAAATTGCGCATTATTCCGGGCACAGCGTTAAGCCACGTAGATAATTATATATAATTGAGGCATTAGGTTTCTTATTGTGCCCTGACAATACTTCTGGTAAATCTCATGAATCAACTACAGACAAGAGCTGTGAGCCGTTATTAAATGCTCGATCGGCGATCCGTACTACAGCTTCCAATATATATATATCTTGGTGTTTAAGCCAGAGCTCACTTTTATCAATACTCAAAGCTAATCTACGATTAGGTAAGATTTGAAGTACTCAAGCCTAGTTCTTCTGACTTCACAGTAGGGAGGAAACCATGGTGAGGAAAATGTGAAATAATTGTTTTCATACTATGCTCGCATAAAAGACACAAGCATATCCAAGTTTACCAAGACATAAACGAGCCAACGAAGAAAATGTTCACATGGTATCACAATCTCGCATATACTTATCGAGAAGCACGGTGTTGAACAGTCTGTGCCCCGTATCGGTGGGCCCTTTGCCGGTGAATTGATTATTCGACAGGCGAAGAGCAACGAAGGACAAACGCCGGAATCGCGAGAGCTCTTGCGCAATCCTACTGGTGGAAACCGATTTTGCCTGGATGACACCAGCAACGATGATAATGCGGATAGAGGCATGAAGGTTTCGAATGTGCTGCACGAATTCCAAGATTGACTGGCCGGTGTTGACTACCGAGTCAACGAGAAATATTGTCTCGCGACCTTGAAGATGCTTATGCTGAATATCGCCTGGGCTTTTTGCATGAAGAAACATGGCAAGTGGCAAAGCCCTGTTCACGCCCAATGCCATTGGTTCACCACCTCGCATCAAAGGCACAATTAAGGTCTCTTCCTCATGAAGAATTCGATAACCATCTGTTTGATGACCTTGAACATGGGTAATACGGTACGTCTCAACGCCAAGAATTTGGGTACAGAATTCAGTGGCAAGATACCATCCAACTTGGGAATGTGCATCCCGCAGTGCTGGCCCCGAGTTCGCTGCATCGCGCATTGGTGTCATGAGCAATTTGGCCGCAAAACGATCAGTAGCATCAAGAAGATGAAGGCTTTGGCGCCGGACAAATAACGACTCAACAAAAAATTGATCCGTCAGTTGTACTAAAGGCAGCCGGGACGCATCAAGGCGAGCAGTTGCATTTGACGGGAGCACAGCCTGGCGCGGCCGAAATCCGGCCTTTCCGATAGATCTTGTCAAAGCCTCGTCCATACTAGTACTTCTCAATGCTTTGTCGCCCGTCATAACAATAGCTTGGTTGGCCGCTTGGAGCATTTCCACATCCAGTGGACTGTCGCCAAAGGCCCAAACATAAGAGTCGTGCACATCACGCAAACGCGTCACGAGTGCCGCTTTCAGTGCGGGTGTCATGACAAGAGCGTCGGACAAGCGCCCCCCGCCGATCACTGTAACTGTTTTCGCCAGACCCTCCCTCTTCAGAACCTTCTCCCAGACTCTGCGAAGTCCACAGGTTAACACCATCGCGCGGACATGAGTCTGACCTGACACCAAGTGCAGAAGATCTAAAATCTCAGAATGGATCTTGATCATGAGGGCCACTTTGTCGCAGCAATCATCATATTCTTTGTTGTCGCCAATGACTTCTTCGCAGAGGAAGGTCGCTTGGCGGAAGGCAGTATATGAGTAGTGCAAAGGGCTGCTAAACAAACTTTTCAAGGGGAATCTCTCGTCCGCCTCAGCCGAAGGTATGGAAACCAGCTCCCAAAATAGTTCACCGCTGTCCTGTGGTGCGAGTGTCTTGTCGGCGTCAAAGACTAGCACGGTCTCCGGCCGCTCGGATCCGGTCGTTATGAAGTCGTCCATGCGTTGCTGGGCCAGTCTGGAATTCAAATCGTCTGTATGGGTCTTAAGATCCTGAATGAAGGGAACAATTTTCCCCATGGATACCTGGCGTTGGGTAATGGTCGTGAAAATGATGTCGTGGGACCTGCAAAGGTGACGCAGTTGTTTTTTCTCCTCTTGCTGCCATTTGATCAAATGAGCAATTGACACTGCTGGGCGACTTCGTTTCTGATCACTCGACCGATACTCCGCAATGTCCTCAGCCGGCACATCAAGATATAAAATGTGAGTGTAGGTGTCTAAATCAGCTGGTGTATACACCAATTGACCAGCAACTTCGTCTTCGGCCCAAAACATGGCATGTCCAGTGACTATGGCACTTCTCCCACTGTCGGAGCTCTCTTGCTTGATCCTTCGAATCGCACGATCACGGACCCCTTCTTTGTCATCTTCCCTCAATTTCTGGAATGCTTCAAGCCCCCCAGGCGTGCCCGCTGCAATCACCTGGCTGCCATCATAAAAGGAAAACTCGGCATGACTCAGGCCACATTTGAGAATATCCAGCAAGAATGATTTGCCAGATCCAGGGAGGCCATAGAGGCCAATGATGACTGGTTTTGGACAGTCGGCTGACGCCGGGTTGGTGGACGTGAGATCGTGGCTGTCACTGCCATTAAGACACGATACAGTGGGAGGCTGCATGACTGAAGCTTTGGTAGAACAGGAGTTGATATCAAGCAAAGTAACTGTGAAAGTTGGTTCTCGATGGAGAAAGACAAGTACATCCTATACTAGCAAGGTTTATATCATGATCTTCTATAGAAAGTAGCGGTCTAAGGGTACACGTGGACCGGTAGGTAGAGTAGGCGTTGAAAAAGTAGAGAATATCGAAATCAGACAAAGTGAGCGAAAACAAAGCGAGCGACTCGGCGATCACAAGGTGCCACGTATCACCAGCAGGCCATGCAAGACCATGTATTAAGTCGCGCAGTGAATATTCCGAATCCCTGAGCTGCAGCGCGGTGATCAAGGTAGAAGAGGCCAGACACGTCGGAGGCCACGGCTGACTCGCTGGAATATTACGGGGTCCATTTGATGGCGACAGGCCACAGAAGCGACCTTTTCATCCTTGCTCGGGTTCACCACTTCATGTATCGAGTACCAGCGTTCTTCCTTGCACATGAGAGCAGCTACTTTGAAAAAGAACCATCGCGAGGTGAACTTGGCCAACATGTAAACACAGATTGGAGCGATTTGATACCCAGAGAGAAAAGGAATCCGGCGAGATGTAAATCCGTCATATTGAGCCCGTGTAATTAAAAACATGACGTCTGAAGCTTCACTCAGTCTAGAAAAACGTGTTTTTGCAAGTCGGAGCTCCTGGAGCTCCTCGCGAAGCCGGTCTCGATGCCAGGACGCTTGTGGCTGCCGAGGAAGATTCAAGCTCTTGAGCCAAAGCCGTAGTGTTGCTTGCCCCAGTTGTATTGGTACTTGTGCCACTGAATGCATATTGAAGTTCAACGGTAAGAAGTTACGGTCATCAAATCGTCAGGTTGTCAACGAGCAAGGTTCGTCAATGGCTAGAAAGGGGCCGCTAAGATCCAAGTCGTCATCGGAGACGGAACATCTCAGGTTCCGATTCTTGTTGCTGCGGCAAGCGCGCCTACTAACTAATCATCTTTCGATGGTGTCCCCAGATCCGGAAATTTACGATTCTCTACTTTTCATTGCTTACTGCATGCGTTCCGCATGGTGAGCGTTCCACATTTCGAGCTTCCCGCATCGTAGGCCTCCCGCATCGTAGGCCTCCCGCATCGTAGGCCTCCCGCATCGCAGGCCTCCCGCATCGTAGGCCTCCCGCATCGTAGGCCTCCTGCATGGTGGCATGGTGTACTTGGACCTATTGGGAATATGGCTGGCAGCCAATCATTAACCTGGAATCATCTGTTGGGTCAAAAGTTGGAATATCCGACTATAAATATACAAAGTCCTCCGTCGGCCCTTACCTATGTTCTCACTTACCCTTTTAACAGGAAGTCAAAATTGGCGCTCAAGCGGGAGAGACCAAATATTAGAAGTATGGGCTCGGCAACTCTAATCAAAGATCTAGAGATCGATCCAAAACGTGTCGGTCGCCCCAGGCTTGACCCATACCAGAGGCTTCTCGGTCGATTTTACGAGCAGCTGTTTCTTTTGAATGCACTTGGACAGACACGTGACAACCACATAACTTCATCTTGCGAGCTTGATGTCACCCGGGCGCGACGCCGACGATTTCTGCAAAATCTTTGTTACATTTGTGAATTCAAAAAAGGGGGCAGCGCATGCACTGCAATTGGGCTTGAGGAGCTCGATACGTGTTACAACTTCTGTGTGGCTTCGAATAACGAAACCGATAAAATCGCTACGTTTCTCCAAAACGTCCTCAACGTTTTGCGGGCCATAGCCCCTCAAGCTGGCACAAATGATACTTGCAGAGAATCAAAGTTCTTTCAGCTATGCATTGGATTTGCTGCTGAGCGCATCGAACAGGAAAGCAAGTGTCTTCGCAGAAACGTAAAAGACTGTCTTTCCAAGCTGAACAGACAAAATGCAGTTTCCGGTGTGTCCGTCCCTTTCACCTATCAATATAGATCCTCTTGTAATTTGTTAATCGATTCAAAGGTTCGCGGTTGATTAAATGGCTGCAAACAGCTATTGGCTTCGATGATCATTACGGACTTTGCAAATTCGCGCACGACGACCGCCATTCCGATCATATGAATGAGATTTTGAGCAGGGGTTTGGAAGATGAGAGACGGTCAGGCCCTACCAGCAGGCGCTCATCTTTTATCCTCGTACGACATTACATCGGCCGGCTTGCACACCATATACGGGCTATTAAAGAGCTGCTTCGGGATACCCAGGACCTGAGTCACCTCCTTGATAACTACGCTGTCTGTAAGATTTATGCACCATCCGCCGTACCTCCACCCATTCGCGACTCGCATACCAACCTTCGGGGAATTCTGAACCGAATGTTCAAGGACAATGATAGTGAAAGAAAAATGCTCGAGGGTGGTCTTCTCCACTTGGACAAGGTGGTCGGGATCTTTAAAGATTTTCTGCGTCCATATAATGGCTCCTTGCTCGATGTCCATGCAGAGGTCCAAGTGTTGGAGTACTTCTACAAGATGCAAAAGTCATTCGCGGGTGACGATCGTTTCATCGCTTGTAGTAAGCCAGCTTGCCTCTGCTGTGAAATGTACTTGAAATATCATCCAGCCCGTGTGATGGTGTCTTCTTCTCACCGCAAAATTTGGACGAAGTGGAGTCCCCCACATGTGCAACAATTTGACAACGAAAACCCTGCCGCCTGGCAACAAAATGATATCTTGATTAAGATGACGCAAGACCTTCGCGAGCAAGTGATTACCCATGTTTTGCAACGCTTACCACCAAACCGTTGGCATCCAGATTCAATCACAAACATCACGGATATCCGGCAATTTGGCATCAGCTCTGACTCGCTCGAGGCATCCGGTGCAGAAAGTCCCGAGACTCCCCCAAGTACGTATTCACGAATTCATCAAAGCAGGTCCAACAGTCCGCCCGACACAGACCTTTCGGATAATTTAGATGCAGAAACGGGATTTGATGAAGATTCTGGCTCGGAAAATGGGGGAGTCCCTCTTTTTGACAGCACTTGAAGGAGCTCAAATACGTGCTGAACCTTATTCTATACATTTTGAGAACACGTATTTAAATCAACGAGAAGCAATTTAATAGCATGAATGAATTGAATCTACACCATGTATTCATTTACAGGTTCATAAAGTCAGTCGAGTGGCGGCTATATTTCCCAGGACCAGCCAGCGAAGCCCGGGGAGACATTTTTTGTCGGTTTGTAGAGGTGCCCTACTCATTGCCTCTCATCGCTACTGTATGAATTGTCTTCTGATGCATCTATATTCTAAGGAAACAAAGAATCTATATCATGCATGGAGTCTACGTGGCAAACAGTGGTCCTCGAGGCGAGATTGCGGTCCACGAGCGAAGACATGAAAGGTTGAAGTGTCAGACGTACTCTGTGTACAACTCTCATGGGAAGGTAATTTAAATGCTTAGATTCTATAGCTGATGTCCAATGTTGAATTGCAAAGTACTCTTTGGCTTTCGCCCGCTCGTCGGTCTTGCGAGAAATAACGTCTATATAATGAATGATATACATATCAATTGCACATAAACTTGAGCAGACTCGAAGCGCATGACACGTTTGTGTTTCAACAGTTATGTCAAGTTGAAACGTTACGCATGTAGCATGAAAGGGGCATTGCGAAGCGCTTCGGCCTGGATTTTCCAGATAGGTTCCGCTAGTCTAAAAAACTGAGGGCCAAAATTGTCTCTCATATTTTGCACGAAGGCATCATCCGACTCTTATCAAGTAGATAGATATAGCTAGGCTTCCCAAAGTTAAACCCGTTTCAATGAGGGTCTGGAGAGAATATTTGTATCTCCGAAAGGGAATCTGTTTGCGACTTGCACTGTACTAGAACTCCAAATAATGCAAGCCACCAACGAGAATAAAGAATGAAGCGACAAACAATGAGTATAGTATTCTGGATCCTCTAACATGGCCATTTGGATGGTGCATCTACGGAAGGTGTTGTGCTTTGTAGTGCTTTTGAGCGTTGTCTTTCCGTGTGAATTTCTTCTGACATACGGCGCAGACAAACAGCTCCTTGGGCCCCCAAATTCTTTCAGCAAGTTCCCTGTGACTAACTCTGACGTGCCGAGCAACGTCCTTTTTGCAGCTGCTATGTATGAGCACTCGGCACAATTGAAAAGCACAGTGTGTACCCGAACACGTTTCCTAAGATTCATTAGAAGATGGGCGAAGGTAAAATCAGATGTGAAACATACTTCAACTGACATTCAAGAGCATAACCTTCTAGCCTTTGACATCCCTCATACCGATAGAAGTACATTTTATCACGTGGCGAAGGAGCGACCACTTCATCTGAAGGCATCTCAGCTTCTTCAGATTTCCAGCCGCACATTGCCGCGTCATGAATCACGGACTCATCATAGTTGGTATTGGTCATTGGGCCAGTCAAATTCTTAAAAGAAGAACTACCAGATATGTCGCCTTCATTGATCAGGAACTCGTCGCATACAGTACTCTACCGAGATTCATTTGCATCGACGATTTCCTGTAGAGCAGGAGACGATATTCCGGTTGTATATAGAGAGGCAGGCCCTGCGGTGAAACTTTCAGGATTTTGATCTTCACCGGTGATATTTGAGTCGGACATCGGAGAAATTGCATCGGTCGGAGGACATCTTGCAGACGCACCTCACACCCCGGTTGGTAGGTCGACGACGAATGAACTCTGAAAATGAGCCATATAGGCCCCTGTGTCATCACTACCCCGTGACCAAGGCTCCATGGTCGGTTTTGTCAGATGGTGGCCAAATGGGAGGTGAAAAGTGCAACATGGTGAGCCGAAGCCAGGTATAAATAGCCCATGCCAGCCGAGAGACCGACTCTTGAGTCATCCCCTTGCGGGTCCAGAGACAATCTCCAGGCAATAGAAAGATAAGATGACGGTGAAAACCTCGTTGGAGCTAAATTTGCTTATCAGTGCAGATTGGGTAGCCACGCATGTATCCAATCTGGATCAGTCATGCCTCTTTTCACCCTTGGCCTCCGCTCACCGCCTAGTTAACATCAATGCGTTTATGTGGCCTAGAACATCGAGGGATTTCGAATGCCGGAAAACAGGTGAATCTCATATCATGTACTAAGTGCCTTTCACACTGAAATCCGATTTGAACACGTAACAGCGGCTGGTGGAGAACCGCTTTGATGCACTACTCTCTGTCAATCAAACAACTCACATTCAAGATGCGCGAATTCGATCGATTGCGTAAACGGCGGACCTGTGAATTACTATATGCGGTTAGTTTTGCCTCTTTGAGTTTAGCGTCCTAATACGCCGTCACGTAACCTACCTTCAATATACTCAGGCTTAAAAAGACCCGTCTTCCCTGCTCTTCCTCACTTTCTCTCACTTTTCCATTTTTCTGCCTCTCTATCTTGCACTCATCGCCGCCCCCTTTCTTTTACTCTGGCCCCCACCGACTACTGCACATTTGCTTTCAGCCCGACGCACTGCCCCTTTCATTTTACCGGAGATGCCGCTTGATCCGACTCCCTGGTCGTTCTGACCAGCGTGGGCTGCAATGCTATCCAGTCGCTCAGGAGCAGAAACACTGGTGATCCAGCCATCCACCGCATCGCATGATTATGTGTCAATACTCCATTTTCCAAAGAACTCTACAAAGACATCTAGACCGCTTTCTTTCTGCTAGTGAGGCCTTCCCGTTGGGTGTCTGTTATTCCGCTGACCTCCCTTGTTGCGAAGTCTCCCAAATTGTCCTCCTTGATGCTGCATGCTCCGCTTCATCCGCCCCATCTCAGGCCCCACCTGAGGTTACATTGCACAGCCCTTGGCGTCGCAGATCTACTCTCGGCCGCTTGTTCGCGAATGCCTCGACCTCCCATCTGTCGTCATCGTTGGCCTCTCCGGTCTCTCTGCACCCAATCGGTGAATCTTAGAAAGAATACCACGGCGATGCGAGCCAATAGCGAAAATACCGCACACTCGCCTGACCTCGGTCGATACTGCATCATGCGGCCAATGCTGGACTGCAACCACGAGAACCATGCTACGATCGTACCGTCACCTACCGAATGGAGAGAGGGCTGACGACTAGTGTGGGCATACGTAGCAAAGGTCATTAGCGAGGGTAGTGGGAATTGTTGCCGGTGAACTACAGCCCGTGGTTGTGAAACTGGTGTGGTCTCGCGTCTCGGATGCAGTGGCCGAGATTTTCTGCGGTGGGTAGAAGGTGGATTCCGCCTCACGGGCGACCGTCGTCTATAAAGAGACTACAAATCCACCCAAGTTGCAAAACCGGAATTCAAAACCACTTCAAATTCCCCTATCCCCTATCCCCCATCCCCAGTTCTCTGTTCTCTGCCATTTCCCCTGTTTTTATGACTACCCACAACCACCACATCCTGAAGAATTTCTCAGCCGTCTCTTCCACACAATATGTCAAACGCTAGTTTTCGCCTATAATCCTTTCGTTCATGGAATCCTTTCCAGGACAAAGCCCAGCCTCTGCGAGATTCTTTCGATATTTGCCGCTACCCAAGTCCTGTCTCGACGACTCCCACCCCGCCTCCCTCTAATCCTATCGACCCCGTCTCCAAGAGTCAAAAAAGTCATTCTCACAAACCTAGCCGTCATCCCCTTCCTGCCCGCCCGCCGTCGGAGGTTTGCTTAGATGACGGCCTACACTCGGACGCTCAAACCACTCGACACGAGCCCGAGTGGGCCGCTTCACCAGCCCTCACGCTGAGACCTTCGACTCTGAAGACCTTTCACAATTGCAGGACCTACGGAGCACCGAAGATATCGATTCTGCTACAATACACGATAATGTTTGTCTGGGTGCTGAGCATCGATCCCCCGGTTTTGGATCGTGCGACTTGGACCCTGCCGTTATTGCTGGTTAGCACCACCCTCAAGCTGCCGATCCTAGAAACACTACCCAGACTGTAGACCTTCCCAGGCAATAAAGCCATCGATCTCGCAATCCTAAGCGATCATGACTGCCCTGATTCTGAGCATATCCAATCAACGGAGAATATTACTAGTATCGCAACATATCAGGGCGAATGTCCCTCGAATTGCTCTCGCTTCCCGAATCAAGATCTATCTTTCCAACGCAGACGACAAAATGCAAAGGAGACCGCGGATCATGATCGCCAGTCCCTCAAAGTAAAGAAATGTTCATGTACAGGGAAGAGAAATGCAAAAAATTGTTCCTATCGGTCCACTAGAGGGCCTAGACGTGGAAAGAGCGCTTCATGTCCTGCCGTTCGTGCCCAATTCTCGGCCCTTTCAGTTGAAGACCGGCTACAGTTCCTATCTTGGCTGTTTGAGGGTGCTCTATCACACTGCGTTTCTACGCGTACCAACACAGATGCCGCCTCTATATCAGGATCCATTCAAGTCGTGGACATCTCCTACGACTATCCAAGTTCAAACACCGAACTAGTTGATGTGCAACTTACTCCTACGAGGAAAGGCCTACCGTGGTCCGTGAAAGAAAGTCGTTTATTGGTGAAGCTCAGGGAAAAACAGAATCTCGCGTAGTCCGAGGTGACGCAACTTTTTGCACCGAAATTCCCTGGAAGGAGCAAAGGGTCCATACAGGTGTACTGGAGCACGACGCTCAAGAAACAGCGTTGATCTTTGGTAGATGCCACGTAGAGAATGCCATATTTATTAACTATGCTATACCTTGGCATATTAAAATATACGTCAGCACTAGTTAAGTTCTTGGTCTACCACCGTATATCGCGGATTGCTATTTCTTCGTTGGAAAAAAAATTCCTCACGTATTTCAAATATCCTTTAAAAGCAGGCAGCCACCCTCGTGAACCATACATAACATGAGACGTAATGCATTGACAGGGTATTGATTTCCTCAAACCAATAGGAAAAAAGAAATTCGGGCCGATGGGATAGTCACTCACATCAAAATCGGCCTTCCTCACCATCAATTGAAGCTTGTGGTAGGTAGATACCCCATGGATTATACCTAGCCGCATTATGTGCCTAATTTTCTAAAGTTCTCCACTGCCCAACTTCCATGAAAACGATCCTTAGTATTACACGTGGTCGTCGGATGAATAATAATCCGCAAATAATCCTGGCCAGTCTCAACTTGAAAACCGTTTCTTCCTTGCTATGCGGGCAATAAGTCAATCAGTCGTCCCTCCCTTTGAACGACAACAATACAGCAGCGTATACAGCATACCCAGACTCCTCGCCTTCACGTTTGGCTGAAAGGATACCAGGAGAGGGTAGGCTCTAACAATGGACGATTACCAGACACTCGTCGTGGCTCAATTCTTCGAGCCACTGCCAAACCTCTCCCAGATATCGTGTCACCAGTTCGTCTTGCACCATATTGCCCCGATCATTTTTCCCAACGCTACCGGCAAGGTAAACGTTCAGCCCAGCCCTTTCCAGGGAAGCATGAGCTATACCGCTATATTACATACTCACTCCACGCACGCCGATCATCGCATTGTCGTCCAGTTCCGAAGCGACAAGCAAGACCTCTTTGGAGTCACAGAAGCTAGCCGCATTCATGGACCTATTGTACCCTTGGTAACATACCAGGGCATGTACGAAGGGCTGTTTGTGTATACATCGCCTTTTGCAGAAGGGACGCCGTATATCAGTGTCTTGATGTCTTCTCAGGACTATAAACTGCCGCTCCAGAAGAAGATGGTGACTGTCCTAGACCTTGCAGACCTCGTTACTCGGGGAGCTAGAGCGAACACTACTATATCCGACACTACTATATCTGACCTCACCTCTACTCTTGAAAATATCCGTCATAAGGTCAATACCTACGTTTTCCGAAACACAACTATCAGAAACAGCATTTCTGCTTGCATCAGCAAACTCCTACCACAGTTACGCGATCTCGCCACCCTCCCCGTTACCCTTACCCACCAGGATCTCGCTCCATTCAATTACCTTATCGACGACTCCACGGGCCGGGTTCAAGCTGTACTAGACTGGGATGGTGCTCTATACCTCCCAGTTGGGTCAAATTTCTATTTTCTGGATAGTCTTTTCGGGTTCATGACCCCAAGTGGTTGGCAAGACACTGAGGATCGTCAGGAACTCGAGGGGGCGTTTTACAATCGGGCTCTGGTTAGTCTTGCTTCCCAGGGAGTTGTGGGAATAACAAAAGAACAACTGGAGTCGCAGAAAGCGATCGGGATGTTGCTGTACGGTGTTGAGCGGCTTCTCAAGTTCAAAGACGAACGAGCCGAGCACTATCTAGATGGATATCTTCAGGGGTTATCTTTCATGACGTATTAGCTTAGTATCTGGACGAGGCCTGTATGCGTGGGAGTTAGACTATATTCGAAAGGATATTGAGAGCTATGCCAGCTTCCTAGGAAATAGGAAAATAGAAAACAAGGAATAATTATCCAAGACATCGCACAATATCATTTCATTAGCTTTTCAGTATGGTTGGATATGTGCTTAATTTCTAGTCATGTGGATGTACATAGCTAAACGAATGCACAAGGGTCCTGGCAAAATATATAACCTCAGGAAGAGGGGGAGAATATTGTTCATGATTTGCAAATTCAAGACTCTTCATCAGCATCCAACTGCGGCATAACCTTGACTTCATGCTCCGTATAGGGCTTCGAGTCCGTAAACACTTTGTGATTGCCAGAGTTCATAGGGGAACAAACGTTGTTTCCTTTGCACTCAACAACCCCATGCTCATTGACATGGAAGCTCCACCCAGTGATGACAGGTTCACTCGTTTCAATCTCTTGTTCGGAGATAAGGCGAAGAGGGACACTGACGGTGCCGCGTCCACTGGGATGTGTAAACTCAATGAAGTCTTCCCTGTCTGCAGGGCTCGGGATGATTGAGATCCGTTTCTCTAGGTTGTGAGCTTTGAGAAACCCGGCAAGGTCTGAAGCGAAAGCTGCGTTGATACGAGTTGCCTCGCCGCTGGCATTGTACTCAAATGCCTGGAACAGTCCGTTTTGGTTGAGGAACCACGAGTTCGGCGCGATCTTGTCCATGTCTATGCTCGAAAGAGCCTTTGGGACGCAGATATCAGATTCTCGGGATTGAACCTCGTGGAACATCACAACTCCGTCTTGGAGTGCGTCGTGGCGATGGAGGAGCCCGGCTCCTAGCTTCTTATGCATGCTGTGCCTGACAAATATGTCGGCGATCGCTATCAAGGTCGCCTTGTCCACCTCTTTTTCCTGTTCTTCGAAGGTTTGGATTGCATTGAAGGAGAGGGCATCCAAGAAGGCACTCTCTACTGCAACCGCCATTCTATTGGCAGGTCTCACTGTATTATCATTGGTATTAGCGATTACTGCTTGTACGATGGTGGAGAATCTGGGTGTGCTTGGCTGATAATGAGCAGAACATGAGATACCTTCTCGTGATGTGGAGATATGAAGCCCACAACAAGTGGGGATGATCAGTATGCTTTCGATGAAAGTTGTGCTGGGTAACTAGTCTGGGCCGGGAGAGAATGGAACAAAGAGAATTGGAAGGAATGTCTGTATTTATATGAGAAATGGTTCGAGCAACAGCAGGCCAAATATCGAGTAAGCGGGGAACCTTGTCATCCAGGGCGTGCTCAAGACAGAAGAGAACGGGAGCAAGTCCTGATTTACAGCGGCTAACAATCCATCACTATCGCAAAGATCCACTCCAGCTGAAAAATATTTGAGCCGCAACCACCTCTTCCTGGCCTGAGAGCTTCCAATCTTGGTTTCATGCTGACGTGGCCTGCAGCACGCGGTTTTGCAATGACAAATATGCATGTAAGCACGAACGGGTCACCGGAAAGGGGGCTGGCGGCTAAATACTGACTGCCATTGGCCATAGAACGGACCAGCCACCCACTCACACCGCTGTATTTTATCAAACCTCAAAAAGTATGTGTCATTACACTTCAAAATGCGGGGTTTGGTGTTACACCACATAAAGAGCTATACCAAATCTGGATTTTTCACCAAGCCATCTGAGATAGCCTCAGCGTCAGACCAGAAATAAATGGTAATTTGAGCAGCCACGCATAGTTAGCTCAAGGCTGCGCTATTGTTTCCCAGCCAATAACCATGCTGATCCGCCAATAAACCGCTCGTATCTTCATGACTTTCTTCCGCAGCTTGTGTTGTAGCTCATTATGAGATCTCAAAATGAACCAACCCTAAATGGTGGAGCAGCCCTTCTTTCAATGGATAAATAATACCACGAGTACAATATTACTGTATTCAAAGTACTCTGTCCGGGAATTCCTCCTCGCCTGGCTGTTTCCCGGTCTTCTTTAAACCGCAGCCTGTCATGTGACGTGACGACACGACATACTGCCTACTTCAGCGAGAGTAGAAGATACGCTAACCGCATTTTGTTATCCCAGTTCTCCAGCTCATCGTGGATTTGATCCGATTTGAACGATTAGGAATGCGCTTTGACACGCTACTACCATGTTGGGCCTCACCATAGGCGCCACAGAGATTGTAATCGTAAAGGAACGAGAGGCAACCACCTGTAGTGTGAACCGAGCGGGGAACCCTGTCAACGTGAATACTTCGTTCAAGGGGGTTTGGGTACGACGGGGGTTGAGTACTCATAATACCAACCTCTGCGGCACAGATCAGCTGCCTATCATTGGCTGAAGCTGAAGGTAGACAAATCTGCGACAGAAGTAAAAGGGGCTCCAGGGCATGGAAGTGACCGTCAATGCATTAGTGTGATCCGTGACATGAAAGCAGTCTGTGCCTCAATGTGACAGAGTACGAGCGGTGCAAAACCCTCGATTTATTAGCGCTTGGCCCGCTTCTTTAGAACAACGGCTACGCCGGGAAATTCGAGACATCAAATGTCTAGTTACGTAGTAAAACTAAGCCAACTTGGGATAGGCTCAAAATCTACCCCTATTTTAAAATATCATTACTCTCCAGTCTTTGCTGCTTTTCCTCTTTGCTGCTTTTCCTCTTTTCTGCCTCTCCTCCTTTCCCCCCTATCTCACCATGTCTGTTAGTGTGGTACTGTCGCAATTTGACGCACTAGTAAACAAAATGGAATCTGTCGGCTTGAAGCTATGTCACAAACGTATTCGCCCATCTGGAGACCAATTGAATGAGTTCCGAGGTCTATATACAAGATTCAAGGCAACATTGGCGAATTTTGACGCCGGAATTCAAGGATTGTTAGCTATGGAGTGTCCCGACGCACGAGATATTGAGCTTGCAGATCGTGTCCGGTCTGCCAATAACCATGCGCCCTTTATGCCATCGACTGTGACGACTCTGAAAAGAAATTTGGTTTTAATTTTTATGGGCCCGATAACGTTCACTCTTGATTCCCAACAAGTGAAAACAAGAAACAAGCAGACTGAAATCAGGTGCGAGATACTAAGATCTCAGCATGCTCATGTTATCCTCATGTGGGCGATGGCGCTTCAGCCATCTGTCTGGAAAGCTTCAGGCGGCATGACCGACAAGACCTTTAATTTTCTCATTCAGGACCTCGAAGGTGAACGAATCAACCGAATTCCGCCACAAATACTCGAGATTGCGCTATCTCTTGCAGCAGAGGGACCTACGAAGGCCTCCGAATCACTGAAAACATTCGTTGAGAAAGTTTCCAAACCCACCGCTGAACTACAATCACCCTTAAAGCGGAGACGCATAGCAGGAACGTCATTATATTCAACTGAATTTGAAGCAACCGATGATAGTGGGCCAAGGGAGATTTTGGCGGCCGAGTCGCGCGAGACACAACACTCTCCAAAAGATAATTCAACGAAGATACAGCAGAATAGGCGTAAGAAGTCTCAATATTCTGGATGCACAATAAAGATACGCTGTTGACAATGAACAGAAATCGACTACCGATGCTCTTCCGCACCTATCTCCAATCTGCCGATATTAGGAGATAGGCTATTCGGCGCGCTTCAAAGCAGTCACCAATGGAAGTGGGAGCGCACTGTCGGAGGGACAGAAACCTCTGACTGTTTGAATGCTCTTGTGCCGAAGAATCGAAGCCAAGATATATCAATCACCCTTTTGGTCGGTCATAAAGACGGTCTCCAGCTTATCCATGAGCTGGAGGCTATACGCGTTTGACAACTACAACTGCTCCGATCACGCGAATCTCGAATCCCTCTGGAACTGGACCGGTTTCTTCCTTCGATGGATCTTCGTTCTCCCAGTGTGGTGGAGAGTCCATATCCGCTTTTGGATCATAAACCATGATTGACTCGCCCTTCCCTGTGATTTCCCTCTCGTAATGTGCTGATCGGAAGAGTATGACTCCACGTATGTCGTAGATCTTTCCTTCTATTGCCTCAGTTCCCACAGGTGCCTTATTTTGGGTTAGCATGTAGCCGAAGGAGTTTGGGTATTGACGGCAAACCTCGTTCGGCATCACGATGTTCGCACGTTGGTCTCGAACTGCAAGAAGGATTTGTTCTCACTGTGCACTTTGAGATGATTAGCATGAAAACTAGCATTTATTTTCCGGAGGATGGCAGCGGCTGTACTTACCAAACCGACTTAGAGGAAAGGGACTGTCGTAACGGGGCTTAGTCGAACAGAAAGTGAAGGGAAGATGGAATTTGCTTAGCCGACAATGGATTGCGCTGGACAAATGGTGGAGGTTTTTTGGTGAAAGCACAAAAAAAATGATCTCCGTGGGTAACGACTCGCGGAGGGGTTGAGGTTGAAGTCACCAGGGGACTGATGAGTTGCCCCACTTCGGGATAGAGTCCGTATCCATCGGGCAGCAAAAAGTGGTAGCAACAGTGATGCAATTTTCGGTTAACGGTTGCTCCTTGAGGACTTAGAAAATAAAATATTTTTGAGGGGCTGGGTCGCCGTTCCAATACCATCGAAGTCAAAATCCGAGCCATTAGCCATGGGGTTTAAAGATAAAAACCACATAATAAAAGAAGGAGAAGGGGCTTGCCAGCATCGCCCGCATTTTTTAATTATTAATCATCGAGACTGTCATGCCTCATGAAAAGATCATCAGTACGCAAAAAACAACTAGTATCAATAAATTGATAGTAATACTGGAATAAATAATCTACCATTAATGGTCATTCGTTGGTTTTTTCCATCGAGGATCTTCAAACCTACGAATTCCTTCCTTTTAGCCCGTGCATTGGATTGGGATATCAAGCGACAATACAAAAATAGTAAATATGGTGGAATTAGAGCGAAGGGGAAGCAGAAAAGAGAAAGCAGCACAAACTGGAGGGTAATGGTAGATCGTTAGCCTATCCGAAGTCTCCGTCTACTGCGATTTTGAGCTTTTAGATGTTGAAATCGTCTCAACAAAGGACACATTCCACTAATGAAAAAATGACATATCGATATTCTTTAAGCTTAATGAATCGTTCCGCATAGTTAAATATTTCGTTTTACAAATATAGATTGACTGGACCCATTATCGAGCTCTGCCCAGAAACACAAAAAGAGTTATAGTAAAATCCTTCCTTGAACTCAGAAAACACATATCGAAATCACAACCTTCCTCAGGCTGAGTATAGCAACTTGGAGCTATGAAGCAAATTAGTGATTGAGGTATTGTTCTGGTCAAGGTACATACCGTCGTGAATTGGACCCACAGACATGGTCTTATACACACAAGGATTGTTGTGCCTAGGGAATAAAGGGAAAACACAATTGACCCAATTGATGCCACCCAGAGAGCTTTCTGGTGCTTGGGGGCCTTGGGGCCTGGATGTCGCCAAAACAAATCGAACGTAGTGGTTGCTACAGACATGGGCTTCATGCATATAAACCAAAATCTAATGAATTGAGCATGAATAAAGCCTTGACCGGCCAAAATCATAAACGTGAATAACGCAAGCAAAATATTGCGATGCTGCTGTATGGTTTTTGTTAACGAGAAACATCTCATGTAGCGACAAATTCAAACTTGCCGACTGATAAATGGTCAAAGACAAAACGACAATTGCACTGACGAAAAAAAAGCCGGCAATCATGTGAGTCAAATGTGACTGCAAAGTTGAAATACACAGATACTATAAAGAAATATTAGTGTCGCCCTCGCTCTTACTCACTGCACTTACTTCGTTCAAAACGAGCAAAAGTAAAACAATGCCGATTTCCATAGGCGACATCGAACGTGACAGATCTGGTATCGGGTTAGAATTATTCTATATGGCTGAACACATTGATCTGCGTACCATTATCAGAGGCGGTCGTTTTCAATGTGAGTATCATGGATGCAATTGAGCCCAGAATGATGATGCCGCCTATTATAATCTGGCTATAAATGAGTGGATTTTTGCTCCGCTCCGTCTGGCTTAAAGCCTTAGTGTATAGGAGCCAGAATGCAAGACTTGAGCAAGAGCAAAACGTTGCTGTTGTTGACGCAACCAGTTGGAATATTAAGTCAAGGTCCATTCTTTTGATTTCAAGTTCACGAAGATCATTAAATATAATCCGTGGCACCAGTTATCATTTAAATAAAGATAGTGACTCAAATAACTTGTTTTCTATCTGTTTCCTACTCATTGTTCTCTTCTGCCATGCATGAAATCTGGTTGGTATTGGCCTTGATCGATATTCGATTGGTCGAACGGGCTTGCCTTGTATAGGGTTTTTAACAGTTGAGTTTGATAAGTATCGCTTGACGGATACAAAGTCAATTATAATTAAAATTTTGAAAGAAAGAAAAGGCGAGAACTAAATACCATTAAAAATTCGAGGGTAATACACTTATGAGAGAGTGCGGATGATGATACACTGATTACGGACTCCGCCTACTATCCTCCCAATCAGGTATAGCGGCTTTAGTAGATGTGAACTAACTATTGACAAAGCAAATCAGGATGCAACTCATTATCTGATAACTCTCAAGAAGATGCCGCTTTTCATTTTCTACTCAGACACAGTGATATATATGCAAGTAGCATAATCTGACGCAACCCGGCGTCAAACATTGACGAATAGAACAATCTGAGAGGTTATACTAGTCCGCTCCGGTCTGAGATCTCCATATGGAGTAAATTGAAAACGCGGTATGCAAGGCCTGAATGAGGGGGTGCTTGCTTTTGCTGGTTTTCCAACCCCATGTCCTAGATATATAAAGGAGCACGACCGTCGAGCAAACGTGCCTTAGTTATTCAAAGCCCATCTACTCATATTTTTCAAGTTACCTCTGTACTATTGTCTACAATGAACATCGTCACCGGAGGCAGTAACCTCCACAGTCCTCCCCAGATATCTCTTCTGGATGTCTTCTTTCCTGGTCTCGGGGGGGTCTCTGCCTCAGCACAGCAGCTGCTTGCTGGTAACCTCGACAGCTACACTCGACTTCTCTGCACCTTCGGAATGTTTGTCCTCTTCACCCGCTACGCAGTCCGCTATGTTTGGGAGCTAGTGAGAAGCTACTTCAGTTCGTAATTCTCCCGACGAGATAGGATAGGGCTGACAGTCTGCAGCTTCGACAATTCACGTCTCGTATTATGACGAAGCGTACGACATGCTCGTCGATTGGATAGCTCACCAACCCTTTGTCCGCAATGCTCACTCATTGATTGCTCGTGTGAGATCTCCACAGCGAACAAGCATCCAATATCAAGCAAAGAAAAAGCCATTAACCTTTTCTCCTTGGGACGGGTCTTTCCCTTTCTGGTATAAGGGACATCTGCTCATCCTTCACTGCGCAGTCAAGGAACATCGAGAAGATATCTACATCTCCTCCATTGGCCTTTCCCCAAATATTCTCAAAGAGCTCGTTGAAGAATGTCGAAAGAAATATCTCAATGACATTCAGAGAAAAGTGTCTGTCTTTGAACACCACGAAGGAGAGTGGAAGAAGGCTCGACTGAGACCGATTCGACCCATCTCTACGGTCATCATGGACAAGCAGGTAAAGGATGACCTGTTGAGAGACATGGAGGAGTTTCTGGATGAGCCCACGCAGAGGTGGTATGCCGCACGCGGAATTCCTTATCAAAGAGGCTATCTCCTGTTTGGACCTCCTGGGACTGGTAAATCGAGTTTCAGTCTCTCAATCGCAGGGCAATTTGATCTGGATATCTATACCCTTCAATTATCAGGTACCTCCGACAGCAAATTGATGAAGCTATTTTCTGAGCTTCCGCCGCACTGTGTCATTCTCCTGGAGGACGTGGACGCCGCTGGATTAGGGCGTAGGGACGACGCCAATGCAGACCGAGAGAACAATTCAAGCTCTGGAGTTACTTTGTCCGGCCTCCTTAACGTTCTCGATGGCGTGTCATCTCAAGAAGGTCGGGTGCTTGTCATGACGACAAATCACATTGAACATCTGGACAAAGCACTTATTCGGCCTGGGCGCATTGACAAGAAAGTGCATTTCAAGCTTGCGGATGAGAATATTTCCACTCAACTCTTTCACACTGTCTTCAAGCAGACGGCCGACCACCAGCAATCCAAGGAGGAATTCGATGATGAGATGATTGAGGGTCTTGCTAAAGACTTTGCTGCTAAGGTGCCAGAGCACAATTTCAGTCCAGCTGAGGTTTTGTCGTTCCTGTTGGAGCGGAAGAACTCACCTATTGATGCTGTTAATGGCGTGCAAGACTGGGCGGCGAGAGCAAAGGAGGCAGGGAGTCAACTGAAGAGAGAGGGTTCTTGGGTACAAGAAAGCGAATGTTAAATATGAGAAAGAGAGGGCGAAGGGAATGGAGGGCCAAAGGGGCGATTTGCTAAGGACTACAGCTCCCCGGATGCTGACGTGGGCCAGGGAGATGGCATTGTGAAAGACGTGTCTGTTCTGGCAAAGGGTTTGAAAGTGCGCAGTGCTAGTGGTAGAAATGCTTCATTATCATGCAGTATGCAATCGGTATTGAAATACAAAAACACCGCTTCTCTCGTAAACACTTTATATCTTTCTTCCTCTGCTTACAACAGTTGTCTCTTTGCTCATGATTGCTTTGGAGCTAGCCGACATTTCAATCTAGAGCGGTGATGAAGTCGATAATTTAATGCCTGCCCGAGCTCTTCTGACATTGACACGCCGAAGGTCTTCTTAGATGATTCCCAGGACTTTGATTTCCTTTTTCGATCATGATCTGTGAATCTCCTGGCGAAACGAACACGCCAGCTTCATCGACGCTGTACTTCCCTCCCCCAGACATCACGAGCACATGATGTGATCTGAAGGTGCAGACGTAAACGTCAACTAACGCAGTGGTCCATGGGTCTCGGGGCCGTCATGTACAGACAGCAGTTGAGCTGGATAGGAGCCTTTGTCTGCTTCTACCTGCCCCGACGTGATGGCCATGCGGAGTATTGCCAGAGGTTGGTTCAAAAGTCCGAGGGCGCTTCAACCATCTCACGTCCTCCAAGTCAATGACAAGCAAACGGTCACCCAGGTCATCCACAGCATATTGCGCCACTCGTCGTCGCTGTGGATAACGCCGTGCGATCGGAACATGGCCAGAGCTTTGTTGCGCTCTTGGTGAAAGAAGCTATAATTCTCATCGTTGATGACATGCTGAAGCCGCGTTCCAGACCAGCTCAAGATCATCATCTGGGCCATTAATTCACCATGGTACCAGTATTGGATATTGGGACTGCGGCTCTCGCTCTCTTCGGTCCGCTTTATATAGGCTCTGAACGTCAGCACATCAAAAAGGCCAAAGTGTGTTGGTGCCTTTGGTGCCAGAGGCATGAATGACTCGAACCAAGGGGTGAGTAAGCCGGCTGGTAAACATCTGGACACATTAACTACCCTAGGATTTTTACGGTAGCAGTATTCCGTATGGACGTAGAAATAAGATTTGAGCCTCGTGAATATCACCAGATGCAAATACAATGTTATTTCACGATACACGAACACGTTTTGCATCATCTGTCTCTACACGACAAGGTCGCCGTTTTGCTGACCGAGCTGGCTGCGAAGATGGGCGACACTTCAGAGTAGAGCGATGGAAGTCGATAATCAATGCACGACCGAGCTCCTTGTTCCAAAGGACATTTTCACACCGTAAGTCTTCATGAAATATGCCCAAGGCTTTAATTTCTTTATTCGACCTTCGAATCTCGCGGCGAAGGTGTGGCGTAATATCCATCGTGGCTGTGCATTCACCGCCCCAGCCCAGAACGAGCATGTGACGGATCTGTCCGGCGCCATGAAGGAAATATATCAGGGAACTACATTGATCATTGGCCTCTATAGAGACCTGAGACAGATGTGTTTCCTGATGAAAAAGAGAGATCTCAAGGATATCTGGGGAGTATGGCATGACTGAGGATCCCAGTTGAGACAGAGCTCAGGAGTAGGGCTCCGAAAGGAATAAATGAATGCGAATATAGGGCATATTCATATTCGCACCCCGCGAATATGAATAAATGAATATCGTATTCGCGCGAATTGTTGAGATAGGTAGTTGTAGTGTTCTTGTTAAGGTTACTATCAAAAGTGGGAACCCCGTCTATTTAAATGTCGATCGCTAGTCCTGCCATAAGCTTTGACCACCGCGATACTCAACACTCCCACTCGATGGCCACCATCACCAATGGTGTCAGTGACTATGTGATCGCGGTGGTGACGGGCCCCATTAAAACCTTCAAAAACTTCATTTGAGAAGAAAGGAAGGAAAGGGTACCCTGTGCCTTAGTCTTGTTCAATACAAATAAGGTGTAGCAATTATTCAACGCCAAGCCCTTTCCGAAACCACTCAAATCTTTCCCGAGCAAGGGGTTTGGTGAACCCATCAGCAATTTGTTCTATGGTTGGGATATATTTGAGCTTCACTGTTCCGTTGTCTTGGACCTCTCCCTGCCACTTGCGTTGGATTTCCATATGTTTTGTGCGGGAGTGGTATTGTGGGTTCGAGGAGAGAGCAATGGCTCCTTGGTTATCCCCGCAGATGATCGTGGCGTTTAATCCTTGGTTCATATTCAATTCGTTGAGAAGCCTTCTCAACCAGACTGCTTCTTTGGTGGCTTGTGTCTGCCCTAGAAATTCGGCTTCGCAGGTTGAGAGGGCAACGACGCCCTGGCGTTTCGATTGCCAACTGATGGCCCCACTTCCAATGTTGAAGAGATACCCAGCTGTTGATCGTCTCGTGTCACGACATCCTCCCCAATCTGCATCTGTGAAGCCTTTCAGTTTCTGAGGCTGACCCTTGTACGCGAGTCTGAGGCTCTTTGTTCCTTTGAGGTACCGCAGGATGCGTTGAGCGAGCTTTATGTGCTGGGGCCCAGGATTTGCCAGAGATCTACTCGCCACAGAGACTGCGTACGCGATGTCCCCCCTGGTTCCAAGCATAATGTACATCAGAGATCCGACCATGCGTTGGTAAGAGGTCCTCTGGTCTGGAGGGCACGTGTAGTCTGGACTGTTCTCTGGAAGAGGTGAGGTTTCTATCGGCGTACCGATGGGAGCGCAGTTGCCAATATCAAATTGATGAGCAACCTTGTCAATGTATGCTTCTTGACTTAGGAACAGTTTCCTGTTTTGGCGGTCTCGCTGGATGGATATCCCAAGGTAGTAGCTGCATGGGCCCAGATCTGTCATCTGAAAACGGTTCCTTAGGCTCCGCTTGATCTTCTTGATCTCTGCGATACTCGGACCCACGATCAGGAGATCATCAACATACACCGCGATGTACATATTGCTCCGAACGAAGATACCAAGATCGGCGGTGATTGGCTCGAAGCCAAGATTGCGTAGGAAGTTCGTGAGGGTCTGGTACCAGATGCGAGGAGCCTGCTTTAATCCATAGAGTGCCTTTCGAAGCTTGCAGACCCTTGGGGTGCCGTCCGTCATGTGATGGGGCTGTTCGACATAGATCTCGTGGTCTATGTGCCCGTACAAGAATGCGGTTTTGACATCCATTTGCTCGATCTCCAGGTCCAGGGCCGCTCCGATTGCGAAGAGGGCCTTGTAGCTCATTGGCTTGACAACCGAGGCAAAGGTTTCATCATAGTCGATACCGTCTTCTTGTGTGAAGCCCCTCACCACCCATCTGCTCTTATGGCGGAGTACTTCGCCATGAGGTCCTCGTTTGAGTTTGAACACCCATTTTCCACTGAGAACTCGCCGGTCTTTGGGGGGATCAACAAGCTCCCATGTTTTGTTTTGCTTGAGTGAGTTCACTTCTTCAAGCATTGCTCTTTCCCATTCGAGCCAGCTTGTGTCGTTCTTCGCCTGATGCAGGTTCTTTGGCTCGAAGGGTTCTGTTTCCTCTGCAGCTACCGTCAAGAATGTTGAGATGACGTTCTCTTCGGGTATATTCATTAGTGCAAGTTCTTCTTCGCTCTCATCAGACGTGTCTAGTGTGGCTTGTGGAGCGCGAATCTTTAGTTCAGGGTGGTGATCAAGTGCTCCTTGCTGCACATCATGGACTGGGCTGTCAAGTTGGAGTTCTGGATATCGTTGCCATTCTCCTGAATTTAGCCCTTGCTGAGCGTCGCCTTGTTGCTGGTCGCCACCGCGTGGTGAGTCAATCCCAAGGACAGAATCCTGATAAGCAGGCGATAGAGGTCCGAGGGTATCGTCAATGCGCGTGGGCGACAAGGTCCTATCTCCCTGTACAGCAACAGCTGGCTGCGAGTCATCGTCACTCGATTGGGACGACGCTTGGGTTTGCGAGTTATCGTCACTCGGCTGGGTAAGCACTCTGGAGTCATCGTCACTCCGAGGCAGTATGTGCGAGATATCGTTTCTCGGCTTAGGTAGGGGCTGCTCCCGGGGATCAATCGACAATCGGTGCCCCGAAGCAGGCACGGATGCTTGCCGCACACCTACCGACGGTTGGTTTATTAGTCCCACCGTCTCACTCCCCCCTGCGGCAGCAGCCGTTGCCTCAGGTAAGCCGTCTTGTCTGGCTCCCACATCTTCTATAGTCTGTGTGGAGGGAGCTGTGAGGACTTCGTGAAACTCAGCGTTTGGAGTCCCAACAATTCTTCCGTCTCCCAGAAGGATACGGTAGTTGGTGTTTCCCTCATAGCCTAGCAGGATGCATGGCCTTGTTCGCGGATCCGTAAGCTTCTTTCTTTGCTTTGGCGGGATCAAGTATTCCCCTTTGGATCCGATCACTCTCAGTCGTGATAGGTCAGGTTTGTCACCATACCACGCTTGGTACGGAGTCATGTTGAGCTTCGATGACGGCGATCGGTTGGAGAGGAAAGCTGCGGTTCGAGCGATTTCCGGCCAGAATTTAGACGGCAACCTCGCATGTGCTAGGGTAGGCCCAACCCGATCATAAATTGTCTTATGGGCTCTTTCGGCAACCCCATTCTGCTGGTGTTGATCCACTCCTGTCACCTCCGCTTGGATTGCGCGCGAGAACAATATGAACTTCATCTCGTCTCCCATTTGTTCAGATATCCGGTCGAGACGTATTCGTCTGCATTTTCGCTCGGGGCGCTCGTTGTGGTCGAGGAAGAACCGTAGTGATTCTATGACGAACTCTTGTCTTCGTGGTATAGGGATAATCTCGATCCAGCCCGTGAAGTCGTCAACGATGGTGAGCCAATAACGACTGCCGTCAAGGCCCTCGTCAAATGGCCCTGCGACGTCAATATGGAGGAGCTCCATTGCGTATTCTCCTCTCCTGCTACTTCCTGATCTGCGGTGGGGTTTTTCGATCATTCGCCCCTGCAGACACGAATTGCATGGATGACGTCGCTCCATGTCCCGAACACCATGAGCCTGCTTTTGGAGTCGCCGAAGATTTGCATCACTCATATGAGCAAGCCGATTATGCCACAGAGACATTTGCGGGCTAACATGATAAGAGGGGAAAGTCAGACTTGCCCACAGATCGAGTGCGTAGACTCCATGATATTCGCTGGCAGTAAACATATTCTTTCCATTTGACTTGTTGCGAAGGATAGCATCCCGGCTTGAGAATTCGACTTTTGCCCCTCGTTTGAGAAGCTGGAGCACCGATATGAGATTGGCGTGTGCAGATGGAACATAGAGGACGTTATCAAGCACAAGCCATTTTTTTCTGCCGCGTACATTGCACAGGATATTCACTGTCCCCACTCCCGAGGGAGCCGTTGAGGTGTCAACACCTCTTAGTGAGGGGCCATGGTACTTGGACATTTGGACAAATCTCGAGGCACTATTGCAGACGTGCTGAGCGCATCCACTATCTACAATCCACGCGTCGCGAATAGAGAAGGTCTTTATCGCCATCATTATGGGAATACGGTCAAATAGGGCGAAATTGCCCTCGATATCGTTTCCAAATGCTTCGTTGACATCTTTCTCGGAGACTTTTGTCGCCATGAAAGTTGGTTTCTTCGGATCCTTTGGACCACCCGCATCGTCATCCTCGTCATCCGTCGAAGGCCGCTTCTTCAACTGTTTGCGTGTGCTCGTATGCATTCTGCCTGGCTTTGGCTTCGGTCTATCTCCGTCTTTCTGTTTCAGTTTCGGATTCTTGGTGAAACATTCGGAGTCAACGTGATAAGGTTTTCGGCAGAAGGAGCAATATGGGACGTTATCGATCTCGATTCGACAAGTAGTTCCGTCCAACGACGGGATGAGCTTCTTGTCACCTGGCCCACGGACTAGAGCAAGAGCAGGAAGTGCTTGCGTCTCCATTGCTTGTTTACCCAATTGTCCCTTCCTATGCTCTTCCTCAATTGCCTTATTCTCGATATAGTCGAACGTGGGCGCCGCTTTGGTGACGTTCCCATTTGCGTCTATTT